TTAAGAACAAATCTGTGCGTACGAACGGTTCTTGCATGAGGCCCATTGTGTTAATGTTTAACTTGTATTATTATGTTTTTTGAATTTGTTATTTGGTGGAATAAACTACAACATTATGTGCTGCATTTGAAGCAGTTTGATGCTCAGGCTTCTCATTTTTTATTCAAAAGTTTCTTGGATGCAACACTTTAAAAAAGWTTGCATAAGCAAAAGAAGTAAAGACGAGTGATGGGTTTAGTCTCTGTCATCTGTTGTGATGCATCTCTGTCCACTTTTTCTTTTTAAAACAGACTAATGCTTTTAAATCATTCTTTTTCACATTTAAACATTTAGTTTGGGGCCTATAAGTAGATCTGCTTTTGTCTGAATTCCTCTTTGTTGTAACTCCACAAGCCCCTCCCCTTTTCTGAGGTGTGCCTCAGATCAACTCATTTTGAGGCTGTCTCTTTAAATCCAAACAAGGCGCTTTACACCCTTTACCCCTCCAGAGTGGTCCATTCTAGTTTGACAGAGGGGTTTAACTATATAGTGGCACAGAAACATTTTATTGACAAATTAATAAAAATGTCAACAATACAGACGTCCACAATGGAGCCAGAGTTTGACTTAGAGCCAGAGGAGAATGAAGATGAAGAAACTGTTGATTAGTTATTTGGCAGACTCCAAGACCACAAAAAATGCATTTAAAGGCTAAAAAAGTGGATTTTGCATATGTCCTCATTAAGGTGTCTCACCTGACAAACTGCCTCTCCTCTTTGTCCCTCCATCTTTGCAGCTCTCCGTCGTCTCCTCCGCCTCGCCCGTCCTTTCCCTGGCTAATGTACATCCTCTCCAGGTCGGCCATGTTCCTCAGGTGGGTGCTCTTCAGCTCCTCCAGCCTCCTGTAGTACTCCTGGTTGGTGAAATAAACCTGCTCCTCCCTCTGCAGGCCRTGGATTTCCAGCAGTAAAGAGCTGCGGACGCCTCGGTCGCTCCTCACCTCCTCGCTGCCCTCCAAATCCAGATYGTTCTCCTGAAAGATCAGGAAGATTTCAACATAATTCTGAGAACGTGATCACGCAAATATGAGAAGAAGGCTTTTATTTTCTTACACTTTATGACACATGCTGTGTTTTAAAAATAAAATTCAATTGTGTTTTTTTTTTTTTGGTTTATTTTATTTGGAAACTTTGTTTTTATTTAAAAAATGTTATATGATAACATTTAAACAGTTAATATTATTGGTAAAATCGTACTTTTGATGTAAAAATGTAGCATTAGATTTGCTTTAAAAAAGTGTAAAATTTATTCTTTAAATTGAAGCATTTAGCWGCTTGTAAATGAGGATCAGTGTGTTTTGAATGTATATACTGCCCAGCCCCCTAAAACTCACCTTTGTGTGTCTGTTAGCAAAATATCTCACAAACTACTGGACAAATTTAAACAAAACTCTCTGAAAGTAATCATTTAATGCACTTCTACAACTGATTAACTTTCAGGATCAAACCAAATCAAGTGGCCTGATAAAACCAACTGAGATTAGTAAACACAAAAATGGTCAAAACTCAGCCAGTTTTACAGATTTTGGGCTAAAATTGAATGCGGTTGKAGCTGAGACTGATTCTCAAAATATACTCTTAGTGCTGCAAATTTTGCAACACTTGCCTAAAACTTTGGCCTTAACCTTATTTGTCTGTTAGTAAAATATTACAATAACGCAACAAGAACGCCCATCATTTGTGTGAAGAAAATAAATATAAGATATTTCAACTTTATAAACTGTTTATCATGTTGCAAATAAGATTAGCTCAACAGAACTTTAACYAATTCTAGAAACACCCTCAATTTAATCTCCTATGTAGCTCTGATCTTCTTWTGCACATAGAGGGAAATATCACAAAACAATGTTATATTTAGAAACTGAATCACATGTTGCGAAACACTAAAATTGTTTTTTCTTTCTTTCTGTGTTGCAAGTAGATTTAAAATTTTGTTTTTATGGAACATTGAGTTTAACTCCTCACCTCACTGATGCAGTCTTCCTCAGCTCCGTACAGAGCCATCAGCTCCTCGTTGTCCAGAGCAGCCGATCGATACATCACAGCAGCTTTGGTCTGATTTTTCTCCTGAAGCAGCAGAAACGTCCACCTGCAGCCAGACGAGCAGYAGAGTGTGTCCTGCTTCACCTCACTTCACACACTGACCTGCTGAACAAAAAGTCTGTTAAACCAGAACAAGATGGCARCAGATTAACACACACACGCACACTCACACACACTCAGACTGACAGTGTTATCCTCTTACCATCAGAGGGTGTTGTGATTCTGCAGTGGGTTGCCAGGTGGTCCATACGGTGCTGTGGCTTCTCCGTTGAAGGGTTAATTAATCAGAGTGAGATGGATGTCAGAGGGACTTTTGCCAATCAGATTTACAGATTAGCTTCTTAAATCCAGTGCAAGTGCTGATCAGTACCACGCATCTGTTGTTGTTTAGTGCGTGTTGCTCAAAGTGTTGGAGAGAAGAGTTCAGGCTCCCTACAAGGTCAGGTGGAGAAAAACTTTAGAGCTAACAGCTCAGTTGTTGTTTAGTAAAAGAAAACCAACCTGCCTTGTACTGACACTAAAGATGTGATGGCTCAAATTCACTAAAAATATATGTATGTAGGATYTTAAATCTATAACGTCAAAGTCAATTAGGATGTTTTTTTTTGTCAAAGTGAAATACAAAAAAACATGAAGAAATTAGTTCAACAATTTATTTCCATGCAAATCTGTGGGATTCAATTAAAACCAACAACTATTATTAAGTTTTATTGTTTAATGGCCTTTTATCACACTGTTAAAACATTGACATGCAAAAACTAAATTTTATTTGTTGAAAGTGATTTTTTATTATCATTGTTAAATAATTAAGCTTAAATACATTTTTTTAGTTGTTATGTGTTCATTTTATATACATTTGATTTCACACATTTCACATACTTTCTTTAACTTATAGATGAAGCTGCAGAGGGAAGACGCCAACAACCAGAGCTGACTGAGATAATCTTTTGACTTTATTCTCAGAGCTGTTGACACAAATCTCCACCTCCTGCTGCAAACCTCCCTCCATCTGCCTCCTGTCCTCCTGGAAGCTACAAACACAGCTAACTACAGCTGCAGTTTGTTGCTTTACATGAAAATTAATTAATTAATTAATTAAAGTGCTGTTTAAAGTGCTTTATAAATAAAAGTSGTATGGTATGGTAAGTGGTAATTAATTCATTAACTAATTATCAAAGCCACTGCTGTTGTTTTTTTAAATGAATGTGTTTCCAGATTTCTGTGTCATGTTTTCAGCGATTTGGGCAGTCGACCATTTGGTTCTTTATTCTGACCTGCTGAGTCAGCATTTACAACAGATTATAGTTTATGGGTTAGGTTTTTTTATTTTTTTATTTTTTTGGAGGGGGGGTGACACTTATTGCTTCGTCATACTTTCAGCTTGCATGTTGTGCAAGTTTGCTCAGAAGGGAGCAACATCTTTTCTGCATCCTTATACATTCGTCCCTTTTTATATCTTTATTTGTACTTTTCTGCATTTTTTTGTCTTTTATGTCTCCTTGGGCTTTTTCCATCTTTCTCAAATGTTTTGTTCAACTTTTCCCTTTTCCCTTTTTTCTCCTTTCTTATCTTCTCCTGTAAACACTTGAACAAGCTTTGAAATTAGTTCRCTTCATGGTTACATCTTTTTCAGAAAACTTCAATAAAATCATTCAGTTCTCARCATGCACAAAGCATTTTTGAATTTAGTTGGATTTTAACAAAAATAGGTTAAGCTTTTACCTCCGGAAACCACTCTAATTTGTTCTTTTGTGCTTGATATTGTCTGTCKGAACTTTAAAAAAAGATTTGGATTTTTAAAATTAAAGTATGAACTATTTAACCAAGTGTTTTTAGAAGTTTTATATCAAGCGGATGCAGGTTTTTTTTAGTGTAAAATAGTTTTATCTGCATAAAATTCTGTAAGTCATTTTGAAATATCAGTACTTGGAAAGAATTTAAGCTTAAAAGAATTGTGTTAAGTTAAATGTARCCCTTTAACAGTTGGTCAAACCACCATCCTGATTTTATTCTAATCATGTTTGAAGCTGAAACTGTATTTGTCCACTAGATGGCGTTGTTGCTCTTTTTATTTCCTTCTTCTGAATTCTAAATTACATAAAAAGTTGTAGTTTTATTAGTTTTGATCTCAAAAGAAAGTAATAATAGAAGTGTTGCAGATATTTATGTATTCACATACAGTACGCAATATATGATTTTCTGATTAAAATGTCTAAATTCTGAAGGATTTTTTTTTGCAAAATCATTAAAAATGTGGTATTAGTTCAAAGTTCAGATATGCAACACTGTGGTTTCATGTTTTTACTATCAGTTTGATCGTGTTCTCTAGTTTGGGGATTTTTTAAAACCTTTTCCACTCTTGCAGTTCTTGGAACACCTTGCTCCCAATTCACAGGAATTTTTCCTCCCAACCTTGGAGTACAGATGCTCCCTTTGTTTGACCAGACCAGCAGATTCCAGCTGCATTAAAATAATCCATTAATTCGCCTGATAAATTATTCCTCACTGCTGCATGAAAGTGCTTCATATAACAGAGACAGACCACAAAAACACATTAGCAGCCATAAAAACGAGCRGCTGTCAGCAGCTCTTTGGAAGCTGCGACGTGAAGTTCAGAGTGTTGGACGCGAGGAGACATTCTTGACCCAGGGCGCCTGAGTTTTCTGTGTTTCCTTTGGATGAATGGTGGCAGTGTTCAGTCAGAGTGGGCCTGAGTCAACAGTCATCACAAGCTTGGCTTTTCCTCCTCCACACGGGCTTCAWCAACTGGTGCTTCACTGAAACATGGTGAATTTAATGAAATAGGTACAAATAAACASAAGAGAATGCAGTGGCTCAACAACAATATTCTGTTTGACACAAAGAGGTTTAAAATGTGATTTAGTATGTATTTTTCTAAAACAACATACAGTCAGGTTCATAAAAATTGGAACACAATTTTCTTTTTTTTCCTTCTTCTTTTTGGCTGGAAGCATCGCCGTGATGGATTTGAAATTAACAGGATGTGATTTAACTGCAGAATTTCAGCTTTACTTCAAAGATATTTACATCCAAATCAGGTGAATGGTGTGAATAAGTGAAATCGCTATGATGTACTTCAGGTTAGCTATCGTAGTTGTATAAAACAGCAGAATGCCTGGTTGTGTGGTGAGCTGTACAAACAGAAAATCCCTTTGAAGCAAATTCGTTTTCACATGCAGCATTCTGGTGTTACAATAAGTTGTATTTGTGCCTCCCCCTTTTYAAAGGATCAAAAGCAATGGGACMARTTACCAATAATAAATCTAATTTTCRCTTTTTGSTGTAATACTTGGTTGCAAATCCGCAATTAACTCTGGAACATAGATGTCAGCAGAYGCTGGGTTTCATCCTTCTTAACCAGGCCTTCAATGTCTTCAGTTCCTTCTTGTTCCCGGGCCATTTTCTCTTCAGTTCTGTTTTCAGCGAGTGAAATGCTCAGACTCAGGTCAGGTGATTGACTTGGCCATTGCACACCACTTCTTTGCCTTAAAATCTTTTTGGCAGTGTGAACTGTTAAAATTTGGAGAATTGGTAGATTATAGGATTTTGTTATGTATAAGACTCATAAAAATGTATTGCCGCCTAACATACAATCCAACTTTGTTAAGAGGGACATGTTTATAATTTGAAGGGACTTGAAATGATATAACTCAAGGATGATAGCTGAGACATCCTCAACACATACTGCACTCCAAGGACTGACAGATTTCACAAGATCTCAAAACATTGGCAAATGTGTCATATATATTTGTTTTTTTTTTGTATATTCTGATATTTTTATCTGGTATAGTTTAATATTTATTATTATGTCTTATCTTTATGTAAATGAGATAAAACCAAAGGTTGCCTGCAAATTTCCTGTTTGCCACAATCTGATCATTTTTATCTCGCTCTATCAAATTTTGTTCTTCTAAAAAAAGTTGAAGTATTTTTTTACTGTGCAATCATACATTTACATAAATTGACACCAAAAAAAAACCTAACAAAAAAAATATGAGACAGAATCCTTTTTCTGTCGCCTTTGGAGATCAATAGTCTGGTCACAGGTTTTCTTGGAAGACCAAGTGAGAGGAAATCCCCACCTCAGGTCACAGAAACACACATGATGTAAAAAAACAAACAAACAAAAGAAGTAAAAATATGTGTATGCTTGGTGAATGTTAGAAGTTAGGTGACTCAGAGACCTGTTTAGGCACAGACACTCATTTAGCCCTGGAGTGGGAATAAACTCTGATGTAACCACAGAGTRGCTCCTGTGTTCGCTAACCTTCCACTTCACAATCTGTTTGTGTTCAAGAGGAGCACTCCACCCTCATGTCAACAAGTCCCACTCATTAAGGCATCGAGACCCTTTTATAACAGCCTGGGCTCTGGGTGGGAGGGTGATTACAGCCTAAATGTATCATTCAAAATTGAACATACAAACCTCAAAAATCAGATACTGTCTGTGCACTGAAATCTAAAATTTCACATGAAAACAAGGAACAAGTATTTYAGTGTAGCATTCATTTGATTTTACRTMTTTCTTGTTATCACATAATCTAAACTTTTTAAAGCTGTAGTTGTGCAAGAAATGAGCTTGAACAAAAAAAGGTGACATTTGTCTGTTTACTGAATTAGTAATGTGTTTTAGCAACATCCGCATCTGAGTGTAAATTTAAATTGCAGAAGACCTTTGATTTGATTTGATTTGATTTGATTTGAGTTGAGTTGATTTATTTAACAGGAAAAGATTACTAAAAATCAAGCCCGACTCAGCATAATTGCTGTTTTACAGCAGGTTCCTGTTCTGCAGCACATAAAACACTCAGAATTACAGCATCACAATCACATCATTACACACCATAGACGCAAAGACAAACAAGCATACCAAATTTCAGGAAGGCAGCATTTGCAAAATAAGACGTCTAAATATGAGCACAACAAAAAGTGTCCTGCAGATGGCAGACAAGATTCTTCTTAAAGGGCTGTAGTTTTGAAATGGACTTTATGTTTTGAGGAATGTCATTCCATGCTTTAGTATAAACATAGAAGAAAGACCTCTGGCCGTAACAGTTTTTAAAAGTTRGTAATATCAGTTGTCCTTTTGGGACAGATCTAGTTGAATGACCACTTCCAGAATTTGATTTGGGCAGCAATGCACAGAGTTCCATAATTGTCACCTTGGAAGATCTGAAAATATWAATTAATACCACTATACAAAACATAATTCTGAAAAGTCAAGGCATCAGACAATGAAAGAACTGTGCAGTGATGAGTCCAACCAGGAAGTTTTTTTTTTATGAATTTTGTAGGCCCTGTTGTAGAGCCTAACTATGGGTTCTAAGATTTCATTTGTTGTAAGAGACCAAAGAGGTAAACAGTACGACATGGTTGAGAGTATAATGTACGACATGG